AAGGAAGGTAATGAGTGAGTGCAGTTTTGGACATGATTGAAATGCTGTCTAGTGGGAGAAATGTGGGGCCCCCACCTGGGAGAGAATCTGCCTGGAGAAACAGATCTAGGAAAAGGTGAGACTATCCAGGAAGAAAAAGAAGAGACATCACTGTCATTGTAGATGCTGAAGTTAAAGGCATAAACAAGGTCACCACTCTATTTTAATTCTTCCTGAACTTTATGGTCACTCAGTACTTTGGGACTTCTCCTAGTCCCTGCAGTGGGGAAGGTCAGAGGACACAGAGTAGGGCCAAGGGTGCCTACTGTGACTTTTGATCCTGGAGGGGACCTCTAAAGCCCCAGGACATATAAATTCTTGGTGTATAGGGTTCCTATCAGAGTGTGGCCAGAAGATACAAATAAAACTTTGATGAGTGGCTAAAAATAAATAGTTTTCAGGCACATGCAGAGGCAGTGTTTAATTTTTGTGGTTGAGCTGAGTTTTTCAAATTGAAATCCTGGAAACGTAACATGTACTTCTCGAAAGTTTCCCTCATTGTTATGCCTGAGACATGGCTTAACCTTTGGATGTACTCAGCTAACATAATTGCCTTGCTGTCTTTTAAAGGTGACTTTTAATTGTGTTTCTGAGCAGCAGCTGCTGTTGAGGTGCTGGTTGCGGTCTTTCCATAGGTTGGGCTGGTTCATTAATTGTTTCCTCTCCCTGGCCTGGGCATCTGGGCTTGAGTGGTGGCCAGAAGCTACTGAAATGCCATCACTTATAGGATTGCCCTTTAAGCCACTGATTTGTTGTTTTATTGAATTTCCACTCTTTTTCTCCCAAATTTAAATGGACCTTTATTGAATACAGTGCTAAATTCAATTCTTCCCCTTCTCAGTGGCCTTTCCATCAGGTTATTTCCCCTTAGTCCATAGCATTTAGTCCCCTGGTTGGACGAGAAGTTTAAGAACTAAAGACAGCCTGTCATTTATGGGGCTCGGGCCTGCCGTGGGGCAGTGCCATGGATTATCACAGGCACGACCCAGAGTCCTCCACTGGCTGCTGACTTATGCTCAGGTAACCTGCAAAGTCTCTTAGCCATTTATTTTCTTTTTTGGTAAAATTGTGCTCAAAATTCTTATCTCCAGGATTACTGTCCTGAAGGTTTTTAATTCATTTGAGTATTTAACTGTCCTACTGAATACATAGAAGTTTGGGCCGGTGTGTGTGTGTGTGTGTGTGTGGAACAACAGAAAGAACCCTGTGTTTGGTCTTTGGCTCTCCCTCTCAGAGCAGCTCTGTGGGGCTGGTTCTTTTCATGCCCTAGGGCAAAGTCTTGGGCAGGCACAATGAATTTTTCTGCTCATTCTCATAATAAAAAATTCTCCAGTCACATTTCCTTCCCAGACAGTCTCAGTTTGGTAATTACTATGTCCAGCCTGAAGTAGACTGGTTTAAAATGCAATATTCCCCGCCCCAACTCGGATTATAGATTTAGTTTTTCAAATTCCACACACGCAAAACAAACAAACAAAAAACCTATTCCACAAAAAACCTATTTATTGGAATATATTGACATTATAGGTTATTTTTAGAGGTGATAAACGTATTTTTTAGATTTATTTTTTTAAATATTCCTTTGCTATTTCAAATGCTCTGTTTTTATGATTGTTTCCTGTTCATTGATATTGTACCAAAGTGTAATACATTTTTGGATATTGATTTTATATTCAACAATTTTGCTGGATGTTCTTATTCTAATAGTTTTTCAATGAATTTTTAATATAGATAATGATATTACCTGTGACTATGATTTTTCCTTGCTCCCATTTCTTGTGCCTTTTTTCTTTAATTTTTTTGTGTTGCCCTTCAGACAGAATTGGTAAATACGCGTGGTGATAATTGCCATCATTTCCTTCCTTTTAATTTTAGAGAGGTTGCTTGTAATAGTTCAGCATTAGATAAAAATGTGCATAGTAAATTCCCAGCAGATACCCTCTATCAGGTTCAGAAATTTCACTTTCTACTTCGCAAGGAATTTTAATCCTGTGTTTGTGCAGAATTTTATCAGATATCTTTTCTGCATCTAATGAGATGTTGTGGGTTGACTTGTTGAGGGGTGTTAAGATGCGGCCTCTTCTAGGTACAAAGTCATTGCCAACTGGCCCGGGAGTGATGTTACAATTTGAAATATGATTTGCATAATGCACATGCATTTTGTAAACACATCCCTTTGTAGGGAAATACCATGTTGTTATGCTGTCGTGTCTGAAGAATTAAACTAAACGTTGCTTGTTTGTTTTTCTCTCCAGTATTACTTTACCGTCCTTTTTGGTCACGAAGGTCAGAAGCCACTGGAGCTGCGCTGTGAGGAGCAGCAGGACGGTAAAGAGTGGATGGAGGCCATCCACCAAGCCAGGTATGGGCTCAGCCCCGTGTGTGATGCTGGATGGTCTGGGTCTTTCACTGGAGGCATCACTGTCGGTTTCCCCTTGACACCTCCTCCTTAGTCCTGTGTGAGATGATTCTTTGAGCTTTCTATGGCTATTTTCTAGCTAAAGATGAAAGATAATAGAGTAACCATAACAATGATAGTAGGTCACTTGTGGATTTGTTCCTAGGTACCAGGCACTCTTCTATGTGATTCTCAATTGAGGGATTTATTAAATGTATTGATTCACTTATCCTTTCAATAATCTATGAGAGGGATATCATAATTACCCCTGTGTTTACAGATAAGGAAACTGAGGCCCGGAAGGGTAGTTTGCTTGCCTGAGGTCACACAGCTAAGGAGTGGCAGAGCTGGGATCTGGGCCCAGCCGAGCTGACATCTGTAAACCCTGCCCTGTGCGGCCTGATTATCTAGAAATGTGGCACCAGCCTCTATCCAGGGAAACGGAAAAGTGTGACTTTGCTTCCTCCTAAGAAATACCAGGAAGGTGGAAAGGAACACACTTGGCCTAAAAAGGGAACAAGGAATCCAAAAGGAAGACGCAGGCCGACCTCTCTCCTTTATTTTTCATATTCAGTTCCAAAGTCTCGCCTATTTTTTGCTTCAAACGGCTCTCATGCCCACCGATTTTTACCTGTTCCCTCCCTCATCCGGGCTCTCCTCACTCCACAACTCCCTGCTCGTGTCCCGATGTTTCGGTGGCAAAACTCCAGCAGGAGCACACTCTCTTTTTCCTCACCTGGCATGCCCTCCCTGCTCAATGCCATTCACGTTGTGGGCACCCCTCCCTGGAGCCTCCCCCCATCGTGCGCACCGGCCCCCTTCTCCAGGTTGCTGCATCACTTGCATTACTGCATGCGGAATGTTTAACAATTAGTTCAATCTAGGTTACTTTTTACATATTTCCTGCGTGTGATTTCTGTTTCCTGAGCTGCATCTTGAGAGTGGGGAAGATGAGGGCACGGTGTTTTCTGATGAAGCAGGGGCTAATCAGACAGCAGGTGATCGGGAACTATTTGCAGGTGGATTATAAAGACAGTGAGAATGTTCTGAGGGAACTTAGACTGACCTTCGAACCCTTGAAACTTTTCCTCTGAAAGTCTCCTCCCGTCCCCTCTTCTTTCTTCTACTATTGTTTATTGAGCACCTCCTCTGCGGCAGGTGCTTCACGTATTTACCGTTCTTCACTCCTCACAACTATCCAAGAGGGCATTATTACCCCATTTTACAGATGAGAAAACAGACGTTCATGATGATTAAGCAGACTGGCCAAGATCTAACACAAAATTGTTCAGCTCCAGAGCCAGGATTTAAACCAAGTCAATCAGACTCAAAACCTTTCATCGATGTGCTGTATTGCACCTCCCTCTATTGTCTCTGTCTTTTCAATTCCCTCTTCCATTTCTTTTTCTCTTCCTTGATTCAGAGATGAAAATGGATTTATATGAGGTCAGGGTTCAGAGTAGAAGGTGCTGTTTTCAAAATATTTCAATTCCTTTTCTTTTCTCTTCTCCAAAATACTTCCCGGAGATGCAGAGGGTTGGTGACTACATGCTGCTCCCCAGGTGGGCCCTGGGGCAGCTTGCTGCCGTCACCACCCAGCCACACTGTTCTGCCGTCCTTGCTCTCGGTGGCTCTGTCCGAAGGTTTGGCCCCAGACTTAGGAGTAATGTGGAATGACTCGCTGTAGAAAAAGGCCAGGTCTTCAAAGGTGAAAGAAGCATCAAGCTGGCAAGGTAGAGCCCTTGGGTCATTTCCAGACACAATCTTTGTCACCACTTGTGCTCCCTTCTATCTGGTAGCTGAAGTGAAGTAAATAATTTAAAACGTGTATTTGCTTATCTTTTTCATTCCAGAAAAACCAGGTACTATTAGTGGCCTAAATGCCTTTATAGTTGCCAGGCAAATATTGTGGTGAACCAGAGTATGAATTACCTTTAAAATGGTAAGATTTCAAGTAATGGATTTTTTCCCTATATCATAAAATGTAGAAAACAAAAAAAGGAAGTGAGTCAGTAACTATCTGGTATTAATTGGCATCTGATCAAAACCAGGGCATGTGCAATCTTGTGAGGAAAAGACTTGAGAAACCACTCTAGTGGTTTAGATAATCGAATGGCAAACATTCTCTTCTCTTTGGATTTGGAGATTTGGTTAATAACTGATCTTTTTTCCTGATGTCCTGACTTTTTGGTCCATTATATTTGCTTTTCCTTTGACTTGAAGCCCAGGATTAGGTTCTTTGATGACTTCCTTTTAATCTGACTATTTTATACCTGAGTACTTTTAACTGTTTTGCATTGAGATGCTTCTTAAATTTTTGTTTTTTCAATCAGGGAAGATGATAACTTTTTCATTTAAGTTTCATTTAGTTAAGTTTTTGATGTAATCTTGGATCTGTGAAATTGATCCCAACTTTGTTAACACATGAGCTGAGCCAGAAAGTTAATGAAACTGATTCAGGGAACTAATTTGTCAGCCATTTTTGCTTTGGGATTGTGCTAATTAAAACGACTGGTTGGTTGACTAAATATTTCACCTTTATAGGACAGTTTGATGGCATTAATTAGGTATTGCTGCCCTTTTAATAGAAAATGTTCAATAATTATGGTTTTATTGATCCCTCTCTTTAAAAGCTTGAGCTTTTGATTAACTAATAACTACTTTGGCCTGAGGTGAGTTCTTATCTGAGCTGACATCCTCCTGCAGATGCTACTTAGAAACAGGGACTGCCCAGAATCCCTCTCTTGGTCACTGCTGTTTTCCTGGGATGGCTTCTCAGCACCAGCCTGGATGTGCTCTCTTTGTGTGTCATGAAAATCACGTTCTTGCTGCTGGCTTTTATACTTAGAGCTGAATCGACTTGCCCCATTTTGCCTTCAGAGGCTCTTTGGGTCATTTTCTGAGATGTAGAGTTGCATTTTTCCCTTAGATCTGGCTCAGGGAAAAATTAAATTCTCATTTGAAGCTTTGACCTGGTTCAAGAAGCTGGTTTTACATTTTTGGGAACACTGACACATTTAAAGATTATTTCATCACATATTACTGGCACCAGTTCATGGGAATCTGCTAGTAAGCTCAGTCTTGTTTTTGTCTGAATAAGGTGAAGCCAAAGCATTTTAATAGCAATGAAGTCGATGCTTGTTCCATAAGTGGTCTGCTAGCTGGGGATGGAACTTTGGACATTCCCAATGACCTGATATTTCGTCTTTGTTCTCTTGGTCATATCTGTCCACCATGGTTGATTTAGTTGTAGAGATTAGACAATAAAAAAAACTAACCCAGTTGCTCGTGGGTCCCTAGGGCTCATAGGCTGAAAAGACAATGTACACAGCACTTTGTCTCCACATTTCATCTACTGGAACACCGACCAAGCAAAGTCTCAACAGTGAGAAGGCAGTCCTGGCCTGAAATTGGTCCCAGGTGTATCTCTTCCAAAGGTCTTCCCATTCTCCCCTAAGCATAAGGCCTGAAGGACCAGAGCTGTGACACTTAGGAAGACAAGTGGAAGGTATTCCAGAGATGTGGGGGGTAGTCTTCAAAGGACTTTGTGACCACCTGGATATGGGCAGGATTAGACAAAGGTGGCATCTAACACAACTCTCAGATCTTGGCACCCATCCCAAGGCTCCCACCATGTGGATCAGTCACCCTTTCTCCATGCCCACATCAGGTGCTGGACCCCATGTCAGGTGCTGGACCAGTTTTTAACCTTTTTGCCTGGATTATTGTGGAGCCTCCAACTCGTTTCCCTCACTCCAACCCCAACATTTTTCCTTTCCCATCGCAGCAAACAGTGTGGTCCTATTAAAAAGTCAGATCTTGCCATGCATTCAATTAAAACTCTGGCATCTTATGCAGGGTGAAAACCTGAGACTATATTAGTCTCCAGAGCCCTTCATGCTTTAGAATCCTGTTCCCTCGTCTACTTTTATTATTTATTCTCTATTTATAAACTTCTAAATATTTACCTTCTGTGCCCTAAATTTAAGCCTTTGTTGATTCTGAAAATTAAAAAATAAGGGGCATTTAGATCATGGTTATACAAATATTGTGTGCCAAACTATCAAGGTTGATGTTTGGTTCCATGGAGAATGAAAAGTAATCAGAGGCAATTGAATATTTTCTTCTTGAAGAAGAATCTTGTATGTGTTCACTTTTCATTTCTTTCTAGCTTCCTTCACTTCCTCTGGCTTGTATTCTTGCATTCTGAGTCATCTTATGTCTTTGTTTTGTGTTTCATTTTGTTGGAAAAACTCATAATTTTTCTCCTGCTGTAAGTGTGGAGGTTACTAAACTGTTTTTGTTTGGAACTGACACGTGGTCTATTGATTGATTACCTGGGGTAGGAATTTAAGTTAAACATATTTTTCCTTCAATTCTCTATTGTGACCCAGCATCCCAAGTTACAGATAAGTATGTCATCTTGATTCTCACTTTCTTTAGATAATCTGTGGTTTCTTGTTGGAAGCTTTTATAATTTTTCTCTGTCCTTAGAGCACTGATATTATACTGGGATGTGTCAGGGTATGAACTATTTTCATTTATTCTGTCTAGACTTTCTTTTATATTCAGACTACACCATATTCAGTTCAGGGAAGGCTTCTTTCATTTTTGATGCTTTTCCCCCCATCACAGCCTATGTTTTTTTCCCTCTGGAACTGTCATAAGATAGCTATTAGACCTCTTGGATCTATACTCCGTGTTGCTCAATTTTTCTTTCATATTTCCAATCTGTTTGTATTTTTGTTCAGTGTTCTTTATCTCTCCAACCAGCTTAGTTTTCAGCCATGTTGGGTTTATTGGTTAGCACATTCACTGACCTGTAATATCTTAATTATCATTTTCTTATTTCCAAGAACTCCTCTTGTTATCTGATTAATTTTTTTCATATAAGTCCCTTTTTGCCTTATCTGATATCCTTCCATATCTCTCTGAAGATAATAAATTTCTGTTGCCTGAATTAGCCTTGTATCCTCTAGTGTCTTTCTGTTTGTTCATTTGGGGCTGTATTTACTATCTGTTGCTGCTTAATAATTTATTTCACAGTGCTTGAAATAATAAACAGTTTATTGTCCCCCCCCACAGTTTCTGTGGGTCAGGAATACAAGGATGATTTAGTTGGGTGTCTAACGAGGCAACAATCAAGGTGACAGCCAGGTGTGCAGTCTCATCTGAAGGCTCAATGGGGGGCGGATCCACTTCCAAGTTTACTCATGTGGTTGTTGGCTGGATTCACTCCCTTATCAGTTGTTGGATTGAGGCCTCGATTCCTCATCAGCTGTTGGCCAGGGATCTCTGTCAGTTTCTGTCTATGTGAACCTCTCCACAGAGCGGGTCACAGCACAGCACTGACTTCCCTCTGAGCAAACCCACAAGACAGTAGCTAGTGAAGCAAGCAAGATAGAAACCAGAGTCTCCTTGTAAATTAATCTCAGAAGTGCCATCTCATCATTCTTGCTGTATTCTGTTCTTTAGAAGTGAGTCACATAGGTCCAGCTCATACTCAAGAGGAAGGGATGACATAAGGACATGAATACTACCAGAAGGTAACCACCACTAAGAAGGCAGCCAACAAATAAGCCGTTTTAGATGCTGCGCACTGGAGACACCTTGGTTTTGGGGGATTGTTCTTCTCAAGTGTCTAGTGATCTTTGTTCTAATGAAGGACCTTGTGGGTTATTATAGGTACTGTGACTGAGTTTACTCTGAGACTGTGAATGCAGGGTCTGTGTCACATCTGTAGGCTTCCTTTTGGAGTGTGTGGGAAGACAGCAGGAAAACAGGCTGGGACTCCCCCTTGTATATTCCACACCCTGTAGTATGCATGGGTGGAAATTATAACTTGCTGCCAGCCACTAGTTCATGGCAAACATGCTGGGATAGTTTTCCCCTTGACTTAGCTACATTATATGGTAAAGGAAAAGGGATTTTACAGATGAATTACAGTCCTAAACCAGTTGATTTTAACTAAAAGGGAGATTTTCCTGTATGGGTCTGATTTAATCAGATGAAAGCCCTCAAAAAGAGACTAGGGCCTTCCCTGAAGTCAGAGATGCTCTCTTGCTGGCCTTGAGGAAGCAAACCACATGAGTTCTATAGCTGCAAGAAAATGATTTTTTCCAACAACCGGAATGAACTTGGAAGTGGGTTCTTCTCCATTCAAGCCTCCAGATGAGAATGCACCTTGGCCAACATCCGATTGCAGCTTTGTGAGACCCTGAGCTGAGGATCCAGCTAAACTGAGCCTGGACTCTTGACTCATGGAAGCTATAATACATAAAAGTGGTTTTAAATCACTAAGTTTGTGGTAATTTGTTATACAGTAGAAAATTAATGTAGTGTATTTCCCTCCTGGTCCCTCTCAATGCCTTCTCTTTTTTGGTTGCCCTTTGTGTCTACAGTGAATGTCTGGAGTAAAGCCAAGCTCTTTTCTCACTGAATTCAGCTTCCTCCTTAGGAGTCTTCATTAGGAAGGAGGCCTCTTTCTACGGAGAGCACAGCTTGGGCTGTGAATTGGCATATTACTGAGGCCAGCTATGTCTTTTATTTCTTTATTTTGGGTGTCGGGAAGAGGAGGAGCCTATTTCCCCATGTTCTGAAAGCACTTCAATGAAATACCCTAACTATCATCTCCTTGCCTGTTCCCATTCTTTGTATTTGTAGATTCTGAGCTCGAAGCTTCTCTGTTCACTCTTAGTAGGAACCACACTTATACAAGGGTGGGCAAAAGTAGGTTTACAGTTGTATGTGAAACAATTCTTGTATTATTATTTATTTATTAATTATTGTATTTATTATTATTACTACCCTACTTTTGCCCACCTCTGTATGTGTCTGCATGTGCAGATTCCTCTACTCTAATCTTCCCACAACTGTGATTCACTTGGTTTGTCTCTTCATGGAATTTCATGTAGCTTCTGGTCTGGTGATGGCATGTTTCCCTGTTTGATAATGCTGCTATGGTTTCATTCTTCACACAGAAAATGATTTTTGTAGCATTTCAGTGGGACTGTGGAATTGATAGGGGGATGACGTTGGTGATGAGTCTGCATGAATTCAGCCACACATCTGGACTGGGCTCTTTCTTTTTAAAATAAAATAAAAGAAAAGAATAAAATAAAATAAAATATAAAATAAAATATAAACTAAACTAAACTAAACTAAATAAAATAAAATACTGTTTTGCTACCTAACTCTGATCTAATATATTTGTAATAAATCTGGCATATTTCTGATAAAGTTGATGAGATAGGGCAAATTTTTATTGTATAATTACTTTTCTCATGCTCTGTTATTACTCCCTCCCTTAAAAGTTTCCCAAAGCATATTTCTATGAAAACTCTGAAACTCTGCTCTTTTTTTTTTTTCCTTTTTTTCCCTTCCTCCTACTTATACTTACACAGACTTCCTTTCTGACAATATGTTTTTGTCTAACACTAATAACACACGTGATGTAAATGCAGACGATGATTTAGAATTGTCTTTTAGTTCCAAGTAACGCAAACCCATTTCAAATTAGCTTAGGTTAAAAAAAAGATTTATTGGCTGGAAACGGCAATATCTCACTGAACCTAAGGGTCCAATTATATTCAGATGTCATAGGGTCTGGAACCAGAAACTGGAAGGCTGACAGGAACCCAGGTAGTCATTACCTTTCTGCCTCAGACTTTCTGTCTCTCTTGTCTCTACTTTTCTGAACTTCTGCTGTTCTTTTCTCTCTCAGGAGACTCACTTTGTTTTGGTATCGATGTGGCCAACTATGGCTGCCCAACAATGGCAACCTGAGTTTCCAAGTTCATATCATCTCAAGTCAAGCAAATAGATCAGAGGCATAATCTCAGATTCTAAGGAGAAAGAATCTAATTGGTTTAGCCTGGGCCAGTTATCTCCTTTCAGAGCAGTTTAGTGTGGTCATTAAGGGCAGGTTTTGCGGTAAAGACATAGCTGCCAGGGCCCACGTTCCCTAAAGAAGATGTAAGTGGGTAGAAGATTGGGCCGATATCTCAAAACAGGTCTGCTGCAGTATTTTTATTTATAACCAGTGCACCATTTCTCACTAGAGAAAGTTTAGCTTGTGGTTAAGACCATGGGCTTAGGGGCAGACAGATCTTGATTGGAATCCCACCCAGCCCTGCCACCTACTAGCTGTGTGACCTCTGTGAGGATCAGATTCTTTCTTTGTACAATTGGGATGATAAAATTGATCCCTTTGGGTGCTGGGAGGGCGAGAGGAGAGTATACATAGTACTCCCTACACACTCAATAAATAGAAACTATTGTTAATTTTTGCTATTATCACACCATTTGGGAAAGATTATGTGAATTGAGCAACATCCATTTTTACCACTCTGAATAGTGCAAGATCTGGAGACAAAATTTAGATGCCACAGACTGGCATAATCAATAAAAATCTCACAGTGAGTTTGCCTTTACCACATTTCATCAAAGAAGTGGACACAGGTTAGATTGCTGGGGTTAGGGCCCAAAGAATCTGCACTTATTTCCAGAATGAAATTTTTGCTTCTGTTGTTTTTGGAAAGAAAGTGCAAGGGTAGTCAGTGGTCTCAAAATCCTAAAGACAGCGAATCAAGGCTGGTGGTTGCTGGTACAGCCATCATAGTTCTTTTCCGCTGGTGCCTGTTCTGATGGTTGTTGCATTTATTCTGCTTGGTGGCAAGTTTGCTCTGATTGGCTAGTGCCTTACCCGGTAAAATATTCTGAATGTCATCCCTGGAAACCAAGTATGTGCCATCAATTCAAATACTTCAGTTTCTTTGTTTAAAAAAGATGTACTATTTTCTTTATAAAACAATAGATTTCCTTTGCACTTTTCTCACTGATATGGCAAAATTGTGGGTGGCAGCCATAATTAAATGAACTCGACTAAAAATTATGTAAAATAACAATGATTCAAATTCTTTATAGATAGAGGGTGCCAAATATAATCCAAAAGCTAAGGTTTACATAAAGTAGAGTTAGCCAAGCAAGCTATGTTTATGGCTTTTTTTTTTTTTTTTTAATGTAGTGCATGCTTTTCTATATGGCACTGTGATAGAACAATATCTCTATGACTAACTGTAATTTTCTCCCAAGTTATGCAGACATTTTGATCGAGAGGGAAGTGTTAATGCAGAAGTACATTCATCTAGTTCAGATCGTAGAGACAGAAAAAATTGCAGCTAACCAACTACGGCATCAACTCGAAGATCAAGATACAGAAATCGAAAGGCTTAAATCAGAGGTATTTCCCAGTTGATGGATTCTTTCCCATTGTTTCATGTTTACTGTCATCTCCTTATGACCACTTAAGGCCTATCAAGGCAAATTTTTAATCCCAACTTAGTTTCTCTGCTATCAACATGCCGCATGGCCAGGCCTGATCTCCATTAGAAATGAATCTAATGTCTATGTTAAAATTAGGCAAATATGCTTCAATAAAATATCAGGATTATAGGCTATTTTTTTATATCTTTATTGATTTCAGAGAGAGGAAGGACGAGGGAGAGAGATAGAAACATCAATGATGAGGGAGTCATTGATTGGCTGCCTCCTGCATGCCCCTGACTGGGGATCAAGCCCCCACCCCGGGCATGTGCCCTGACCGGGAATCGAACCATGATCTCCTGGATCCTAGGCTGACGCTCAACCGCTGAGCCACGCCCGACTGGGCTAGGCTATTTTTTAAAATTATCTGTGCTCCTGATGTCCTTCATTTGATCAGATATGCAGAGCTGACTATAATATTTAACTGTTTCCAGATGGACTCTTAGGGTAATGGTGACTGAGAATTTGTCATAGATTCCATTAAAGTCCAAAGGACAACTAAGGAAGGACCAAAAAATGAATTTAGAATAACTACTTTTTCTAGATCTAAGGAGTCCAACCTTCTCCCCTTTAGAATTTTGAAAAACACATTTGAATTAAAGTATAAGACATTTGTTAGGGTGCATTTTTCCCTAAAGCTGGGGTTCCTGCATCCCTCTTCTCCCCCCAGCCCTTCAGTGTGAACTTCTCAGGCCCTGTACTCCCAGGTAGTGAGACTGATGCCAGCAGAAGGTGCTCATAGCATCTGCAGCCATGGCAGTGCGCCTGGGTCCTCCCTCTCTCCAAGGTCCTGTGTCTATATCCAGAAAGGCACAGAAAGGTATATGTACACCTTTTCTTGCTATCCTGCCATTCCTCGTGGGAAGTGATCAATAGCTGAAGGCTTGAAGAGGAATGTAGAAAATGAGTTTTTTCCCTTCTTTTTGACCAGCAGCGCATTAGCATCTTCTTAGCTTCCAAGAGAAGAACAAGGTAGAAAGAAACCCACTGCTAATTATGTCCTTATTGACAAACAACTCAGGCTCCTCAGCCTTGGTAACTTTATCACTTTCCCGTCATTGGACAACATTTTCTTCTTCATTTCCTCACGCCTTCCTCTAAGACATCCCCTGTGAACCCCGTGAGGGGTGTCACCTCCTGCTGCATCACCTCCAGCGCGGAGCACGGGCACGAGCTGGTTGCATCTGGGACCTGCTTGCTTCGGTGACGATCAGTTGCAGAGCGTGCTCACCATATCATTAGTGTTGTTAACTTCCCCATTCAACCCTGAAATCTGATATAGTGAAAACAACAACAGAAAACTTAACCAACCTGCATTTTAAAAGACTATATCAGGCACTGTAATTTAAAACAAAATTATTGTGTTCTTTCTTTGCCACAGTAAGCTAGAGCAGATGCTTGTCCGTTAAGCGAAAGAGGTTGGCATTTCCTCTGTAAGAGAAGCTCAGCACCATGCAGTGTTCCCCAATATTTATCTGTGTGTGCGTATCTGTCTGCACTATGTTCTATTTTAGTCTGAATATAGACTGCAGTTAAAAGCTGTCAGTAGCAGGTATATCTCGTGTGGTCTCTTGACAGGAGCCGTAATTTATTTCCTGCTCCTTTTATTTTCCCACTTCCTGACCGAATGTGGCAGAGATGTGTATTTGGTGTGGGGATAAAATGTAAAGACAGGTCAGAGGGAGCAATTATGATCCCTTAGCTCTGTGTTTGCTGTGTAGGTTCTTCTGTTTGTAAGAGCCTGCAATTGAGTGGCAGTCCAGTGAATTTTATTACTAAGTGCAGTCGAGAGGCCATCTGGTCTTGAGCTGCCCCTTGCAGGTCATAGAACTGAGCTGGAGATGTAAAGAGATCCCAGGTTGTTTCAATCCTTTTTATGTTTTTACCTTTTCTTGGCTGGCTGGGACCAACACTAGGGCTCTGAAGTTCCCTTTGCAGTTACCTTTTCCCCAAGGAGATCTGTGAGTCTGCTATACTATCTGTACTTGGAAGGCCACAGGTTAATTATTCCCACAGGGGAACCACTAGCTTTGAGCTGAGTGTCACTGAATTTGGAGACCACAGGGCATTCTAGGCAGCTGCCTTCAGGCAAGACGGTTGACACGTCATTCAGCTTCTGAGAAGGCCTGGGCCTGGTCATAGCTGGCAGTCAGGGCTGAGCTTGGGGCCAACATTTCTCCTATCCCAGATCCCAGTTCACATTTCCACAGGCACTTCTTTTGTTTGTTTGTTGTTTGTCTTGTTTTATCTTTATTGTTGAAAGTATTACAAATGTCCCCTTTCCCCCCATTGATCCCCTCCACCCTGCATGCCCCCTCCAGGCCTTCACCAACTACTGTCTGTGTCCATGGGTTATGTATATATGCATATATGTTCTTAGGTTATTCT